CACACACACACACACACACACGCGCGCGCGCGCCTCGCACCCGCCTCCCCCCCACACACACATAAAACAACCCTCCAATCTGGCCCCTCACCTGCAGCGCGTCCATCATTAGTTTGGCGCCCTCCCAGTACCCCACAGCCAGCAGGCCCTCCACCATGGCCAGCTTCTGATTCCCACCACCACCACCACCACCGCCGCCACCGCCCGCTGCTGCCGCCGCTTTGCCCGAATCCTTCTCGTCGCCGCCGCCGCCGCTGGGGCGGTCGAGGTAGCTGGTAAGCAGCTCGTCGAAGCGGGACGCGTCGAGCTCAAGGGAGGCGCCGGAGAACGTGCCGCGGGGCGCGGCGGCGGCGGCGCCCCCGCCGGCGCCGGCGGCGGGGGCGGCGGGGGCGCTGACGGCGGAGAGGTCGACCTTGGGGGTTGGGAGGGGGATGGGCGAGGGGGCGCAGCAGATGTGTTGGGTTTTAGGTTTAAGGTTTCAGGGTTGAGGGTGCGAGGTCAGGGTGGGCTGTGTGACAGACAAGGCCCCGAGGCCGCGGCAACGTTCCTTCATGCCAAAGGACGCTCGAGGGCGCTGCCGTAAGCCCTGCGCTTTTGCGACTGCGCGTGCCTTCACAGTCAAAGATGTCGCCTCAGGCAGCCCTAGAAGCACCAGGATGCAAAGCCTCTCGAGTCGCACGCACACTCCTCTGCAGACAACACACACACACACACACACACACACACACACACACAGCCGCACACATGCGCGCACCTTCCCGTACGCCTCCACCTCAGCCTGCACAACCTCCGACGCCGCGACGTACCGCGCCGCCAGCTCAGCGTCGTCGGGGCTGAGGTACGGCGTCAGGCGGTCCAGCGACACGCGCCCCGCCGCCGCCAGCTGGCCGGCGAGGCGGTACAGCGCCGGCGGCGCGGGCGGCGCGGCCGGGGTCTGCGGCGCGTGGGGGGAGGGGGACGGCGAGTTGATGCAGCGGCTCTGTGTGGGTGATTATGTTGACCCACCGTTCGGCCCTCCCGAAACACGCTGTGGCTCGCACTCGTCCGCAGCAATTTTATCCTATCAGGTTGTGCGTGATGATAACATACAACAGACGGCACCCAAATCACACGGTACAAAACTAGGGACCGCCGCGCCGCGGCCCCGCAGCAGCGCCGCCAGCATCACCTCCTCAACCGCGGACTTCCGACACTCGGCTCGACCGCCCTGCCACACGCACAAGCCCTCCCCTGCAACGCCCGAGCCCTGATCCACTGCATTAGACACGCAAAACAACATTATTAACACGAATCAGAATACATTGTTTGTATTTGAGGAAAGACATTGAATTGGATTTTTCTCAGGCCCCCCAACCGCACCTGGTGGTAAACGAACCTGAACCCCAGCAGCTGCGTGGGCGCGTCCTCCCGGAACAGCCCCAGCACGGCCAGCCACCCGCTGACGTCAGCGCGCGCGCGGGCGGTGGGCGCCGCGGCCAGCCAGGACTCCCAGGCCTCGAGCACCAGGTCGCACACCCTGCGGCGGTTGCCGGCGGTTGGCGACTGGTGGCAGGGGGCTGGCGGCGATCCGTGTGGACTGCAGTCAACATGGCCGCTGGCTTGTGGCGGGATGGTGGTGGAGGTGCCCTGGCCAGGGGCTTTGACATTGCTGACGGTGCGCTGCCCGCGAATACAGAGCTGACCAACATGACCTGTGCACACCCTCGCCCGCCCCCTTGTGGGACCCAATACAATGAGGCTGCTTTGCACAAACATCTGCACACACACACGCATACAATCATACAATCACACACACACACACGTACACACACACGTGTACACACACACACACGTACACACACACACGTACACACACACAAGCAAATACACACACACACACCTGTTGGGGTCCAGCGAGAAGAACCCTATCAGCGCCCGCAGCTCAGACAGGAAGGGCCCCAGCGGCGCGGCGCCCGGCGCCCCTGGCTGGCCGCCCGCGCTGTTGAGCAGCGTGACGGCCTTGGCGTAGCCCTCGTTGGCCTCCCGCAGCAGATTGTACCTTTGATTTCGAATATTCAAATATTAAGAGTCAGAGCTGGGTGCGGCTTTGGGGCGGTGTGGTCACACGGGGAGGCAAGAGGGAACCGAGGAGTTGTGCCTGTTATCCAGGGGTTCCGGGGTGCGTTGCGCGCTGCCGCACGTGGTTCTTTCGGGTACGAGCGCAGCAGAGAGGGAGCGTTGGGGTAGCACAGCAACCGGCTGAAGCACGCAGGCGAAGGGAAGCCGCGGGGGTTCTTGCCCGACCCGACCCGCCAAGAGCCCGACCCCGCCGACGCGGCGGGCCCCAGTCCCGAGCCCGCCCGCCGCCTCGCCCCTTGCTTGCTGCGGCAGCACCTGTTTGCTCATTTCGGCGCGAGCGCGCCGCTCAGTACGCCCCCTCTCCCCGGGCGTTGCGTCTCTCCTAAGAAACCCCCTGCTGGCAGCCAAGCCTCACCGCAGCCCCGCCGCAGCCCCACCGCAGCCCCAGCCAAAGCCCCGCCCAAGCCCCACCAAAATGCCCCAATCACAGCCCCAGCCAAACCCCAGCGTAACCCCCCCCCCCGGTGCACTCACTTGCTCTGCTGGTATGTTGCCTTGGTGTGGGCCCGCACCTCCCGCACCTTGAAGCCCTGCCCCGCCACCTGCCCGCTGGCCTCCAGCAGCGCCTGCTCCTGGGTCTCAAGCAGCAGGCGACGGCTGACGTGGCCGCGCTCCTGGGGTGGGAGGTTGGATATACATATATGTGTGTGGACATTACATGTACATGTATGTGTGTTTGTATATGTTCACGTTTATGCACACGTTGATACACATATATTCACATATACAAACGTACACAGATATACATGTGCTTATCCCTGAGATGACCGACCAAGGGCGAGGCTGTCCACAAAGCGCGGCCGTGGCGGGGCCGTCGCGGCGACGCAGCTGCTTGCTAAATGGAGCGTCCTCTGCCCACGCGCGGGGACTAGTCACAGCTGGCGGCCCCACCTGGCAGGTCTTCACGAGGTCAGCCAGCCGCTCTATGGCGTCAGCGCTCCCCTCCACC